CCTACTGCCGAGCATTCACCTTGCAATCGAGTCATGCTATAGTTCATCCAAGGTGGAGACTCTGCCTCTTCGACACTGAGGCTCCTAGCTCCCGGCTAGACGGGCAGCGGCAGCCCAGCCTTGTGATCTGGTGTATTCTCATGACTACCCAGCTCCCTGGCCGTCATGATGGCGTTGCATTTAATACACAGTAATAGTGGTTCCTGCTTCGCCTACCTGGAGCAGACCCGAGTTAGAGGAAATGATTTCAGTTTTTCCAGATCACATTTGTGAGCAAAATAAAATCCGCTGTGAGGGGCTTTTGTGGTTTTTTAAAAATTTCTTTTCATAAACTAAAGCTCATTTGCCTAGAAACACATCTAATACTGCAAAATAAATATGAAATGAGAATAAAGAATCATTGTATATGGAAGTATTAGGAGCAGAAAGACTAAATTCATAGTCTTTACACAATCTTAACAATTCTGTTATGGGTTTTCAGCCCCAAAATCAGTTAGTCCTATTCCCCAGAATCCGGCCTCTTCATTCATGGTTTGTTTGGGTTTTTTTCTTGAGCCCGTCTGAAGCTCAACTAGCTAGCCAACAGAGTATACCAACTCCTGTGTGTAATTTACTAACTGGCAATTGAAAATCTGAGGTTAATGTCCGGTGTGAATATTCACGCAGCTCTTTTTTACTCCTTTAACCATGAACCACATTTAGCTATTTACATGTTATACTATAATTCAGCATTGATAATACCTTCTGGAAAATAGCCTCTATCAGAATTGTTCCTTCTGTGATTCACTGATATGATCTCTTTAAAATTGCCTTACAAGTGTTTCTTTGGATTGTACAAGGGAATCACATGATACCCTCACTCACAGGGACTGAGGGGGAAATCTTTTAATTTACCTGGTTAGGGGAATCCTCCACCCATACTAGATCCTGCCCCCAACTTCTACTAAGCAAAGGAAGGCCTCAACTGAAGTGCAAGAAGAAACAGGAGAGTTAATGCCCCCAGGCCTGAGTCCATGAATATTTTTAAGGGTCATTATAACTACAGGTGGTTTCTGCCTCCAGACTTCCCAGGTAGAGGACAAGATAAAGAAATTTCAACCTCTGATATGCTCTGGTCCTAAGTAGCTGCAGTTCCAAAAATGGGCAAGACATCCATGAAAACCCAAATTTATGGCACAGATTCAGACTCTTAACTCTTAAGATGAGGACTCTAAATGTCGTAAATTCCACCCCCACCCCACACTTTGGATGTCCTCCTTTAAAGCTCAAACTACCTCAGTATACAACAGAATCTGTCAGTTAGTGTATTAGAGACCTGTCTTTGCTTGAATAGCAGAGAGTGATGCTGTCAAAGAAAGTCTAGTTTGTAAAATGACACTCATTTGGAATAGTGTGGTTTCTATCACAGCCGTCCTTAGTAAGCAAAGAGAGCCTGTTTAAACCAGCAGCAGTAAGCAAAAAGAGGCGATCCAACGATACAACTGGAGTTTTAACCTGTTTTTAAATATGCGTGCAGAGTTACAGCTCATCACATGGTAGTCCACAGTGATTTTATTTATAAAATGAAGGAAATCAGAAGGTTTCATAGTGAAATTTCGAGATTTGTTTTCTTCATGTCTCAGAAAATAAAGTGACCCTCTTTTTTGGAGTTTGTTGCTCTGTGGCCCCTTGCAGACATGGCGTTGGCGCTCCTTACAAGGAGCTACAAGAATCTGCATAAGAGGAAGGGCTGGAGAGCAGGAAGGGGCCAAACACGAGCTACCTCTGCTCTTGCTGCCACTGCTATGGCCGTAAGTCAGAAAGCTGCCCCCTCTGTACGCGGCTCATAACTGGGCAAGTTCACGTGCCTTAATCTGGTAAGAACACTTCAAAATAACAATCTTTGTCCGCCAGTAGAAAGCGGACTAGGAAGCACTGCCAGCTTCTGCATTAGGACAGCGTCTCAGAAGTCAAGATGCTGTATGATCCCATAGGGAGCTCCCGGCTCCACAGAAACCTCCAGATACCCAGTTTTAGGAGTCACAGCAAATGCTAGAAATAGCAACTGCATCTCTGTCTTCTAAATGCTGCTGTAAGACCCTCATAAAATGCCATCCTGGCCCCTCCCCAACCCCGCTCACGCCTCACCCACCAAATGCTTCCTAACGCCCTGAACCTCTCTTGTGGCATTTATCACCTTGTACTTTATATGACAGATATTTATGTATGTATCTCATCTGGGGAGCCCAACCCGAAACCCCTTGCATGTGGAGCTACACACACAATAGATACGTATTGACTCAGTTCAGTGCCCTCCAAGCAGTCTGCGCCTCCAGCGAGCACTCGAGCTGCCCCGGGGAAGACAGTACGCTCAGCCACGGCATGGAAGGCTCTCAAATATGCTCCCTTTGCATGGGGCCAAAATGTGTCTAAATCAATACAATTTTTGAATGAATGAATTTTGAATGAATTCTTACATAGTGTTTTGTTTATTCTGACAAATACCTCTTGGGCAGTAACAGGGCATTTGGCTCTCTGAGCATAAAAGAATGCCTATTCTTATGAGAAACACAAACTCCCAACCAAAGAAATGCAGTGTGGAAAGTGCTGGAAACATAGTTGCTAGAAAAGACGGAGTCTGTGAAGAAAGGAGGGGCTCACTTTTGCCTGATGGCTAGATTAGGTCCACAGTCCTCAAACCAGGGTCAAGTCCTGCCAGGTGGGTCCTGGGCGGCTTCTGGAAGTCTCGGGTCAGGTGGCTGAGTGTGAAGCAGCCGGTTGATAGTATCAGAACTCAACGGGGTGTACGAACCAGAGTGGCTGATGTCTTCGCCTTTTGACTCCTGAACCTCTAAAAGCTTCTATACCCTCTTAGCCCCCCATATAGCTATACGCAGCTGCTTCTGTAAAGTAAATTGGGATTCCTTTTTTTAATGGCTTCTAAATGACATAGGAGCACTTAGCAAAAATCTAAGATCAATTGATTTGGAATAAAGTCTGAATGCAGCCATTGATAGGCGTAGCAAAATTCTGGTTATGAATAAAACTTCATCTTAGATGATGATGGTAAAACTCTCTCCATCTAATATTCCCACATCGACTCATTTGACAAACATGCATGGAGCACGCGGTATGGGACAGGAGTCAGAGTCACAGCCTCTGGCTCCCAGCAACGCCCTTACACACCCTTTACCAGCCGCAGGACCCCAAACTCAGCAAACAGTCTGACAGCACTCTTTGCATAATGATGTTTACCAAGCATCAGGGACCACAAGTTGGAAGCCAAAGTGAAGCAGAGAAATGAGATGTCGTGCATAATCCATTCGAGAATAGCATTTGGCAAGGGCAGGGCCTAAACTTCCCCCATCATCTGAATCATTGACGCCCTCTTTACACTGACCATAATGTGCTAGGCATTTTTGAGAAGCACTAGGACAAATAAAACCAATAATTCCTATTCACCAGAAGAAGAACAAATCCCAGATCCTCTTATTTCCAATATGGTTTTAAAAATCTAAAGTAGGACCAGATTTGCAAAGTGATAAGTATAATGATCCAAGCATCAGCTTTTATAATACATCTTACTTAAGTGAGATTTTCTTCCTTTTTCCTAATGAACACTTACCAATTGCATTTCTTCATATTAAGGTCATTATTTGAGGAGCACATGGGTGGCTCAGTGGGTTAGACCTCTGCCCTCAGGTCATGATCTCAGGGTCCTGGGATGGAGCCCTGCATCGGGCTCTCTGCTCAGCAGGGAGACTGCTTCCCCCCACTGCCTGCCTCTCTGCCTACTTGTGATCTCTCTCTCTTTGTCAAATAAATAAAATCTTTTTAAAAATAAAGTTATTATTTAAGAGTTATCATGTTATAATCAACAGTCAATGACATAATAGTTTAGATTATGACTAATGAACTTTTCTCTATTCAAGAAATTATTGAGTACTTACTATGTGCCAGGCCTCGGAGATAGAAAGTCTAAGTTGCAGGCATCAGAAAGGGCCACATCTAAGAAATAATTATCCAGTGTAATAAATGCAGCCATGTGAGTATGTCACATAAAGAGCAGTCAGAGTACGTGGCCACCTCCACGGGAAGGAAAGAGTTAGCAAAGGCTTTGAAAATGAAGTGTTCACTGGGTTGCGGAGGAAAAGACAAGCTGTAAGCATCCACAGAGTGCTGACAGACAATATATTATCACCATCTGAGCTCATATCATACCACATAGAGTCCAAGTTGAAAGGTACTTTACAGGTCTTCTGCTCCGGCAGCCCAGGCAGAAAATCCCTGACAGGGAAGCAGGGTGACAGGTACATTGGAGTTGTGCTGTGGGACCTGGCTGCAGATTCTCCTCCCAAGGGTAGGGGTGAGAGGCAGAATCAAACTGCCTGGGGCACCTGCTCTTCCTGTCTATTTATTTTATGGATTAGTTTCCATAAGTTCTCACTGGAGGAAAAAAAAATACAGTCCCACAGCCGAAAACCACTGGCAGAGTAAAAGAGCAGGGGCCTCTGGGTAGGCCCGTATTCGTGTGCTTAGGCAAATGAAGTTATTTCACGTAGGAGAAAGTAGCCTGTCAAGTACAATGCACTGAGTACATTCAGATTATTTTTAAATCATTTCATCATGGTCTCTTTGGACCTTAGTTCCTTCATTTCAAGAAACAAAGAAAATGAGAGTATTTCACCTAGAAATCTCAAGCCCCCTGTAGCTCTACAGTTCTATGAATTTGAGTTGATCTGCCTTCTCTTGACTGTTTCTGAGGACAAGCATGCATTTTCAGGGCGCTCCTGTCCGTTGCTTTGGAAGAGACTTAATGCTGGAATTAGAGCATCTTGTTTTGTGAGTAATAACTAGTCACTGGTTTTATAAATTGCAAACACTGGTGCATGAAGCTGAAACCACCTCGTTTATAGGATACAGACATTGCAGAAGCTAGCGATGGCTTTTTGTTGCGCATATGCCCGAAGTAAAATGCTTCAAATGTTGCTTTTAATGAAATATTTATGTTCTTTTGGTAGCCAGAAGTGCAACTTGCTGAAGGCTTTGATGTGTTCATGCCTAAATCACAGCTGGACTCTATATTGTCAAACTACACTCGCTCAGGAAGCCTTCTGTTTAGAAAGCTGGTGTGTGCATTTTTTGATGACAAGACTTTGGCTAACTCCTTACCCAATGGGAAGAGGAAAAGAGGACTCAATGACAACCGGAAAGGACTAGACCAAAATATTGTGGGTGCAATCAAAGGTTGGTGTGCGTCATTTCATTTTATGGGTTCTTTGTTGAGCTTTGCCTTCATTTCATAAAGATGCAGTGGAACCTGTAGTCACGTAGCTAGAGGTCCCTTTAATTTGCCCTTGGCAATTTACACACCGGTGTGGCTTTGGGGTATGAGCTCTGTAACTCAGCACCCCAGATATCACCAGAATTTGGTATTTGAAGGTGACGCTGGCTTGTTAAAATTATTTCAGAGACAGTTTGTTCTGCTCCAGAACCAAGAAGTTTTTCTCTAAGTGTTTAAGAAGAAAGTATCTTTCCTCTTAGTAATTTCTAACTGAGAGCTTCATCAAAATATGATTTTGACTTCAATTTTTAGTTGAAAGGATAAAACTATGATGCTTTTTGGAAAATAAAGGAAAACAGTTCCCTCCAAAGTTCAGAAGTTGCTTCACATACATAGGTCATGGCTTCTAGAGTAAAGACATTTTAAATTTAAATTGAAAAGTGAAGCCAAACCCTGCACATCTGCACCCATTCCTGGCCTGCTCTGCTCCCTCTCGTTCTGTGCGCGGAGTCACGCGAGTTACGTGCGGAGAAAACTGTGAGTCTCTCCCCCTCGGCACCGTGAACACACACCCGAGCTCCACACGTGACAGTAGCCGTGCAGGTGCCTGTATGAGTAGCTTTTCATTTATATCCAGGTCTGCATCCTAAACCCATTTCTTCACTTTAAAAAGTCCTTATGTAGAACTCTGATAAACGTAATTTTAGGTAATAGAAGTCCTTAAACGTTATTTTCAAAGAAGAACGTAAATGAATTCTCGAATATAAACACAACTACCATGAAAATGGCATTTGAGATCAGGCCTTAATTTACACTCGAATTGCTGATAAGGACGTTCTTCATCGCCTCAGTCCCTGCCTTGCTGGGGTTGCAGCCTGGGGCTGGACGCGGAGTGCCTTCCTCCCCACTCCTGCTCCCCGTTATCTTGCAAAATGAGTAAATGAATTTAATAGCGCTTAAAGGATACTTCGAAACCCACAATTAACTTTACAAAATAACGTGACTTTTAAATGGAGTTAGCAAGTACCCAACAGCCTTTTTATGGCCAGAAGGACACAAGCCTTGACTAACAGAAAATTTCTCATTCTCTGACAGAATTTTTTTCACTTAAAGTGACAGTTGAGTTGTATTAAATAGGAAAAGCTACAGAGATACTACAATCTGTGTCATTTCTGAAAAGAATGATTCAGCCTGAAGTGACACTAAAAACTAGATTACTGAATTTGAAAAACGGTCAGTGATGTAACTGAGACCAGCTAAAGTCAGGAAGGGTCCCATTTCCATTTAATGTGGCTGGAGCCTTCTAGAAACATGAAGGTCAAGGTTGATGATGCTTTTCATGCTGAAGCTTTTAAACACATTGAAATGTCGCCAGGAATAGTTTTAATTTTCTTTTTTCAGGACAGTGTATAACAGTATGAAAGAATTTAGAAATTAGGGAACTGGAAGTGACCATGTTCCATTTTAATGACAGTAGAGGAGTTACCCTAATGATAGATGGTGTTGAAATATGTCATTACAAGTAGTGATAGGGTTTATTCTACCATTTTCGCTTGAGACTGGTCATCATATGATAGTTTGAAAAAGCATATTACACAGAGAAATAGAGAATATGACTTCATTTTGTTCACAGCCCTCCTCTTTAGCTAGAAATAACAATTGTAACAAGGCTTCTGCTCCTAATTACAATAAAGCAGATTATTCAAATCAAGGAAATTAAATATTCTATATACTTTTATTGTTGAATTAAATCTGGCATTAAAATTCTATTAAAACAACAAGAACACTTTAAAACAGAGAAATCCAACCATAAGCCACCAAACTTAAGTCAACAAATACTGTATATTCCCTTGTTTCCTTGCAGTATTTACTCATAAATGTGTATATTTTGATCTAGATTTTTTTCCCCTAGTTACAAAAATAGTACATGCTTGTAAAAATTCCAAACCATAGGAATGTATAGAAAGTTAAAAATCCTCCATAGTCACATTCTTCAGAAGTTACTCTGTACATTCCCATCTTTTTTTCCCCATGAAATCTTTATTCAGAGTTTGACTCTGGTATCAGATTTGTCTTTCTTACAAGGACATTCTGCTTGTAATGGTCAGCCATTGTTTTTACCTTAAAGATTTATTCTGGTAATTTCTCATAAGCACCCTGAGGACAAGCTCTGTCTTAAATATTTTTTATTACCTTTGGTGCTTCACTAAGCTTTACATATAGTGGGGTTTCCATCAATACACGCTGGGTGAGTGAACAGACATGGGTTTTTATTTTTTTATCTTGACTTTGGCCTTCTTGTATTGATATATGGTTCTTATACAAAATACCCATCTTTATGTCTTCAACCGATTTGAAATGATTGACATCAAAATGTTGTGAATTTCTACCAGTTAATAAAATGCCATTGAGAAGGGGAAAAAAAAAAAAAAAAGGAAACCAAAATTCAGTATAAATTTAGGTACAACTCTCTTAATTCCTTAGTACTTTTTTCCTTTACATACATTACCATACTTCCACTAGAAAGTTCATTAACACACATATTAGAATTTAAAGTGGTCTTTGAAAGTAGCTAGTAATTGAAGGTCTTATAACTCTCCCTTGCTTTTCTTGCTATTTATTGGTAGAGATAAAAAGGGAAGTTTACTTCCCTAACCCAAGTCTTTTGAATCAGTGTCATCTGGGAAAGTGAAAACTTCTTTATATGTAAGGAGGCAGAACCACTCGTGTCATTGCTGGTGTCTGCCACAGATTTGGACAAGATTTTCCAAATATTAAATATTGTCCTCCTTCCGCTATCCTTTCAGGGATAATACACCAATACCATATAAATTCAAAAGTTCTACAACCTAGGAATTTACAAAGACTGGTCAATTTTATAAGATATTACAACTAAAAATAACAGTAGGGGCTGAATTTTGTTCCAAATGAAGTAATTGGGCTGGTTAAAACAGGAGTGGGGGAAAAAGATAAATGAAAATCTGTAATATGGTTATAAATAACAGACATGGACTGAAGAAGAGTTGTGTTTTTTTTAAGATTTTATTTATTTATTTGACAGAGAGACACAGCAAGAGAGGGAACATAGGCAGGGGGAGTGGGAGAGGGAGAAACAGGCTTCCTGAGGAGTAGGGAACCCGACACGGGGCTCGATCCCAAGACCCTGGGATCATGACCTGAGCCGAAGGCAGACGCTTAATGACTGAGCAACCCAGGTGCCCCAGAAGAAGAGTTTATTGTGGGATTATTAACAAGGCTTTTCGTAGTGATAATTAATATTCCCCATGACAGTATCTTGAAACTAAGACATAAGTCTTTGTAGAGATCACACTTTTCACATGTTTTAATCTGCTTTATGGTGGTTAACACTTATTGGTAATTCATTAAAAATTCATTTATAACTATGACCCAAAGTATTAATGATGAAAGGATCTTTAATTAGAAGCATTTACCTGAGCACTTGGAGTTTAACTCTGGAAAGAAGCACCTTATGATCTTATTAAGTGGAGCTTTAGATTTTAAGGCTGAGGATAGTTTAGTATCTTGGATTGAATTCAAAACTTACTTCATGGCCAGAACATAGGATAGAGGTCAGGACCCAGCTACGTTCTCTGAAGACCAGCTCATTCTTGCTATATGCCAGGAGACTGTACAGTTTGCCTTAGTGAGAGTTATCTGAACATTGATGTAATCCTTGGATCTCCTACTGTGTTCGGAAAATATAATTGCTGTAAAGCAATTTTTAGGACCCAGGTTCTGGTTTTTAATTCAGTTTCATGGTGATTAGTTGAGAACGTTTTATTACTATCAAACTCTACTAGATTCTTGAATCTTCTTGCATTCAGAGGAAATTCTGTACGCCTGTCACGTGAAAGACCCGACCAACCGCTCTCAGTTTACTCCCTGCAACACATGAACACACGCGTAAACCCAAGCTGTGGCCCCCCTGGCGGGCAGTCAGCGCTGACGTTAGCCGTGGGGGTCACAGCCTCCCTGAGAGGGAACCCTCCGCAGCTGGCAGGCCTCCAGAAACTTAACTGTGCCTCTAGCAAGAATGGAAAGCCCAACCAGAGTTGACATCGCCCTCTCAGAGACTGCCAAGTTGACCACCAAAACCTCGCATTTTATCCAGGCAACTCTGGACACTTGTAGGACCCATAGGAGTCCTTTCAAAATACTTCCATTTTCCATTTTTATTGCACATGATTCTGCTTTTCATTTGACCTCACAGAGATAGAAATTAATATGGTTGTGGGATTTACCTCCGATTTATTATTTATTTCTTGATACCTCTGTGTATCCTGAGAAAACTCTGTTAAGATCAAGGATGGGCCATCAGCTTGGGTGTGAACAGCCTCACGGTGTCGGTGATTTTATCTTCATTTTCAGGAGAGCAAACTGAAGATCTGAGAAACTGAGTAACTAACTTAAGGATAAACCTCTAGTAGGTGGTAGAGCTGGGACTTGGCCCCAGGCCTGTCTGGCTCCAGAGCCACTGTCTACCACAGTCCTTTCCTTCTCCAAGCAGTATCTGAAAGGAAAGAAGAAAGGTTGTCCCAACTTTCAATTTCTGCCTGGAAATTTAGCATTTTTGGATCCTTTATAAATTCCTAGGAAGGCGGCTATACTAGTTATTTAAAATGACTAGTCGGTTACTGAGTATGCAGAGCACATTCACAGTGAGTTTCTGGGTAAAGCGTAGGGCTATAGCTCAGTTTACTCAGCAACTTTAAGGGCAAGGGCTCCGCTGCAGCTAGTGAGAATCGGTCCCATCATGCTAGGGAGAAGAGAAGTGCGATCCCCTCCCCAAGGAAAAGAGACACTTCTGAGACTCTTCCCATATGTGGAGCTTGGAAGTCACACTGCATGTAAGTAATTTTTCAAAGTTGTCTATAAATTTAATTCTAGCGGAACTGTTCGGCAATTGAAACCAACTGATGAATGCTCTAATTCAAGAATCCTT